TAAACTGTAGTATAGGAAGTACGAATGCTACGAGAAAAGTAGATCTTAGGCTTACGAGAGCTTTGTGAAACGAGGCCCAGGTTGGTTCAAAATAGCTGTCCTTTTGCTTTCGGATCCAGTATATGTGACCTGTTCGAAATGTTTATAGCTGGAAAACGTTTCAATTTACAAAAATTAGAATACATAAGATTAATAATATATATATGCATATGTTATAGAGCCATATAAACTACCAACTCTCGCAAGTGAGGAATAATAAATAACTAATTATTTTTTTATAATGTCCATAAATTATTTTTGAATTTTAATGCGGTTTTGTACAAACGTACTTAAATCTTAAAACCGTAGACGTTTAAGCCATGTTTAGACTTATTGCTTAAGTGTTAAACAATTCGCTAATGAATGTGTTGAAAGTCAGAGAGTTCACAATCGCATGAGGCTCTGCAGTGTTGGGCCAGGATTCGCTGATAGTGGGTTCAAATCCAACATTCGATTATGATGCTTGATGTCTTACCAGCTAAAACGTACTGGTTCCATATGGTAAACAGTTCAGACTTCAGACACTTTGAGTTACCTTCCAACATTCAACTGACATGCCGCTATGTCAGTGTAAATGATGTCGAAATTTATATTTTATATTCTACATGATGAAGATGCTGCCAACAACATCATCTGATCAGTTGACAGAACGGTACTGCGGTGGGTGCACCACGGCCACATGCTGAACACGGTCAAACCCAGGATTCAGGATGTGTTTGAAAGAACTAAGAGTGAGTGAGTGAGTTTAGTTTTATGCCGAAAAACACCAATATTCAAGCTATATGGTGCCGGTCTGTCAATACTCGAGTCTGGACCAGACAATCCAGTGATCAACAGCATGGGCATCGATCTACGTAATTGGGATACGATGACAGTGTCAACCAAGTCAGTGAGCCTGACCACCCGATCCCGCTAGTCGCCTCTTACGACAAGCATGGGTTACTGAAGATTAATTCTAACCTGGAACCTCACGGGTCCAAAGAAATAAGAACTTGTAAGTGAATATTTCGATTGTACTTCTTGTTAAATATAACTTTAAAATATTTCAATTAAAACATATATGTCATAACGAACTGTATTATTGATTTTGTCTTAGGGTGTTGAACAGTGATTTGGGGGTTTCGGGTAAAAAATAAGACGAAAAGACGAATAATAAGAACACGTCGGGTAAATGACCGTAAAGAAACTAAGGAATCACAGCATAAAAGACATGTGAGTCACCGATGGAACAATATGTCCATGGCATTTATCCGAGCTTTATTACACATGTCTTCTGAATAGCCTTATGAGATAAGTTTGATTATTTGAAACAGGTGTTGTTTAACCAGTTGAAAATTATCCCGTCCTGTGTGTAATATATAAATCACAAAACTCGTGGATGTTGAATATGAAAAATATTCCAAAGCGATATTTTAAACGTTTTGATTTATGGGAATGTTTTCCATATTCAACACCGCTTTCGCTCGTGAATAAATCAAAACGTTTAAAAATATGTCGTTGGAATATTTTCCATTTTCAGCACGAACTCGTTTTGTGATCTCTATTTATACAGGCCGCAAAATATATGCAAGATCCATTTCAGATGAAATGAACGGGACATTAGGATGACAACTTTCTTCGTGTGTTTGGTAAGGTTTCATGATGTTTTTGTTGTACTGTATCAGTTAGATGTCTCACCAAGGCACTGATTACAGTACACAGCAGTCACGCTGGAACACAATCCTATGATCTAGGTGATGACATGTAGATTGAATATTTACATGCAATAGTGCTGTGTTCATTCATCACAACTGTTTTACGTCGTCATATGAGCGAAATATTCTCAAGCACGAGTTAAACCCAATTTCACCTCACCTAACCTCACAACTGTTTATTTATCACTACATTTATAATGAGCACGTTTATATCGAACTACGGTTATAACGAACTAAATTTTGGTCCCTTTGAGTTGGTTATAACATTAGGTTACTGTGTATTATTATTAAGTTGAGTTTATGAGAACTTTTATTTTACTTTCTGTGAAAATGGTGACGGTGTAACACGCCATTACTTTTATCGTTAAACAGTAGTGGGTGTGGTAGTCTGAACGCCGGTTTGAAGAGTACTGCATTCATACCACAGCGCGTCTGCATGACGTGAGTACTGATGTCAAACTGCCGACTGGTTTTACACGTTTAACACCTCGGTGAAACCGCGCGTACTGATGTAGTACTAACAAAACGACTTCATAATCAAGCCTGTAACGATAAAAGGAAGCAATCCTGCAAAGCGATCTAGCGATTCATCTCCGGCTATTAAGATCTTTCGGCTATGGACAGTAAGTTACTGATAGTCGGTTATTTGTAGTAGGCTATACATGGTCGACGTCAGACCTTATCGGAATAAGCAATTAAGATAAATTATTATTGTGGTCAAGTTGATTGAGCATCATCCCAGTCACCGAAGTGATTCAATCCCTTGTATTGGTCCCGAGAACCAGAAATGACAAGTTTCCTCACATGCCTAAATGGGCTGAAATTGAGGACTTGCAATTTAGCGAGCCAAGTCTTCGATTAGTCCAATCAAAATTTCGTGACGAACTCGACATGTGGTTCATAAACAACGTGGGGATATATGTGCCACCATTTAGGGGTCGCCATTGTATTCACAGTAGATGCAAGGTGGTATCTTATTGGTCAGTTGGAAGGAGACAGAGTTGACACAGCGTATAACAACCACTGGTTATGATAACCTATAATGCGATTGACAACATTCGAAGCTAGTTCGAGTGGAAACTCTCTCAGTCAGGGAACTTCCTTGACTCCGGATGTGTGTCGCCTCTAAAAAAATACATGATCCCGGGCATTGAGGGGATAAAGGCTGATTTAGTCAAGTTACTGTTTTCGAGTGAGGTATGCAGGTATCTCCAGTCAAGGAAAAGCACACGCACGCACGCACACGCACACACACACACACACTTATCACTCACATTTGCATACTTACTCACATTGATGCAAACATTAACAGAAACACACACTTACCTACCCTAACACACACAGACATGTTCAGACGTACACACTAACACGCACATTATGACAATTGCACACATTGATGCAAACATTAACACGCACACACACAGAGACAGACAGACAGTCGTACACTCTAACACGCACATTAAGACAATTACACAAATTGATGCAAACATTAACACGCACACACACAGAGACAGACAGACAGACGTATACTCTAACACGCACATTAACATACTTACACATACTGATGTAAAACACACACACACACACACAAACACATTTGCAGACGTACAGGGGCGGTGGGGTAGCCTAATGGTTAAAGCGTTGGCTCGTCACGCCGAAGACCCGGTTTCGAATCCCCACATGGGCACAATGTGTAAAGCCCATTTCTGGTGTCCCCCGCCGTGATGTTGCTGGAATATTGCTAAAAGCGGCGTAAAACCAAACTCAGTCAGTCAGTCAGTCAGACGTACACTCTAACACGCACATTAAGACAATTACACACATTGATGCAAACATTAACACGCACACACACAGAGACAGACAGACGTATACTCTAACATGCACATTAACACACTTACACATACTGATGTAAAACACACACACACACACACACACACACACAAACACATTTTCAGACGTACACTCTAACATGCACATGGAAAAGCTTAAATAGACTGATGCAAAATACAAACATACGAGCGTGCGCCTGCATGCAGGACACTGTAAACTTCTGGTACGAGGATAAAACTATAAGTTCACAAAGATGGAATTGCGTGATGCTAAAATCATTTCACACACAAAATTCGTGAACTGAGCATATTATATCACAAATCAGTAGTTAAGGGTGGGGTCTAAATATCCAAAAATACTTCCACATATCTCTCATTACTTGTACGCGTGATCCACAGTCACAACGCCCAAGGAACTTTAAGGATGTACATTTCCATATGTATTTATAGTGACTTTCACACTTAAAGGTATGTAGTGGACATTCCAGAAGATAAGGTTGATCGTGGAATCTTTAAAACGACCGCCTGCTACCCAGTGCCGTGGCTGTGTTCTACCAGACATGTCGTGTCTGGTGCTGCTGTGTCTGCTGCCCCTCGCTTTGGGGCAGAATATCGTCCAGAATGGAAACATGGAAACAATGGATCATTGGAACTGTTGGAATATACACTGTGAGCTGACCACTGATCATCATAGTGGACATCACGGAATCAAGGCCACGGGCAGGTACATCGATAGATCAAAACGTCCACCTCTCCACTGAGGAAAATCAGTTCCATTATTACAATGGTGTTTTCTATATAATTATTTAGATACACGTGAATAAGAAACTGATACTACTTTACAAAATTTGCGTCTATAATCAATGTTCAATTCGTTTCCAAGCAACAAAAAACATTATTCTGTTGTAAAAATATATTTTGAAAGACATCACTCATGATGATCGAGACAATTTGTGTATTTTATACTATTTTAGGATAATTATGTTGTTGAATAGTACAAGATACCATAACGCTAGTTTGCAGTATATTTTGGCTCTTAGGATTAGTAAGGTTTAACCATATCACAAAAATATTCTTAAATATCTGTATATTTCAGAAACCACAATTACGAAGGACCCTCACAGACCCTCAATGGCCTTAAGCCTAATGGACGGTATAAAGTCGAAGGATGGGTAAAACTGCTGAACGACAAGGCTTGGCAACTGGGACAAAATATCGAGTTGGAGGTGTCCGTTGACCTCAACAGTAGGTTCTGTAGCTTACTTCTCAGTCAAGAACAAGAAGTGTGATTGTATAACGTTTTAATACTGGTATGAAAAATAACAGTCAGCTCTGCAATCTCATTTGCCATAAGTTTTCATCCGCACCTGCATCCGTTCATCGTAAAAGTAAAATATAGTTTTTTGATGTGATAAAATCAAAATCATGTTTCAGTTCAATGGTGCATCTTTGTGTTATAGCTGGGAAGAAGGCATACATCCCCGTTGGCAGCCATCCTCTCGCCAGATCCTCCGACGGCTGGATTCACCTCACTGGAGACTTCAACGCTCCTTCTGGGGGTAATGTGGTATTTCATTGAACCAATGCAGCCAAAAGCCCAATGACACCCAAAATAACCTGAATTGTACATATTCTTGGACGTTCCTTGTCATTATATATACGGTATTTCATGTTCACAAAACAAACCAGAACTGTAAAAAAAACGTCACAAGCCACCACACAAAAATATCCTAATAACACGATATTATTTTATAGTACCAAAACAACCCAAAACTTTGAATAACGGTCACAGTCCAACACACAAAGTCAAATAAAAGATTATTTTAATAGTATGTAAATCCTAGCAGCAGTAGCTGACATTTAGCATAACAAACAAATTTGTGTCTTAAAATAATTTATAGGTTCCTGTGATGCTGAGAAAAAACCCAACCAAAATCAACCTTGGGCAGAAAAAGTTATGACCACTTGAAAATGTACCTCAACGATGTGCTGAGATTTCTTAAATATAACATCAGTTGTATGACTAAGATTATATGAGTCATCACCCTTCTTAGCAACAGCCAAAATGGCTGACATTGTTATGGCAACAGAAGTTGCGGTGAAATATGACATGCAAGGTAAATACTGTGAGTTTTGACAATTGTAAAAAACATAAGGCATTGAGAAATAACTTCAAATGAAATTCTTAACAGGTTAGATAGAATTGATATTGAAATTAAATTGTCTCCAAGGCCATTAGATATTATACTTTTCCTACTGGTTTTTCTTGTCATGTGGTGATGGATGACCTTGACCTCACACGTTGACGAGTATAGCAGCAACATGGCAGTTACAGTTGTTGTTACAGATGAATGGCGGCTGGGTAGCCTTGTGGTTAAAGCGTTTGCTCCCCACGCCGAAGACCCAATATGGGTACCATGTGAAAAGAAAACATGTGACATAAAATGCGTTTTCATTGACTTTGTAATTCGATTGTTCTTTTTCTATTTAGGCATAAAGTCGTCCAGCGTGTACTACCAAGGCCCGTCACCTGGTGTAAACTTTGTGGTCGACTCCGTGTCTATATCTCCCCTGGTAGCCAACACCCACTGGCGTGCAGAATCCGATGCCACCATAGAGAGGATAAGAAAAAGTGACATCAACTTTCAGTAGGTTATGTCAGTCGTTCTTGGAGCTAAAGAAACAATACTCAAATTGGTAACACAGATAACGTCATTGTTAAACTTTTGAAATTTGCTTTGATTAAACCTGTTATAATATGCCTGGTCTTTGAGCTGGTAATACACGAGAAAATATAACGAAAATTTAACTGATTAATCAAACATCATAAATTAACTATCTATCAAGTATTCTATAAACACGACACGATATAATAACGTGTTTGATATTTTCAATTACCCTCAGAGTGATTGAAGTATCTATGGTAATACGTCATATACTTCCCTTTGACACATCTCGAAATGGTGACCCGTGAAGATCCGGGGTAGAATAGGTCTTCAGCAACCCATGCTTGCCACAACAGGCGACTATGCTTGTCGTAAGAGGCGACTTACGGGATCGGGTGGACTTGGTTGACACATGTCATCGGTTCCCAATTGCGCAGATCGATGCTCATGCTGTCGATCACTGGATTGTCTGGTCCAGACTCGATTATTTACAGACCGCCGCCATATAGCTGGAATATTTGTGAGTGCGACGTAAAACTAAACTCACTCACTCACTCTATAAATGGTACCAATCACGTTTGTTCAAAATATTTTTCAGCGTCACCACTTCTGGAGGTATTTCCAACAATCAAGTTGAAATTGACGTGAGTGTTATCTTTTTAAAACTCGTTGATCAACAATAATAAAGAAACCGTAAATCCATGCCCATGCCATCTTATTTTTGTTCTAGGTAATTCAAACAAAAAAATCGTTTGCATTCGGAACCGCTGTAAACTTAGGAGAGTATCTCCATGGCGACCAGAGATACATATCGTTCATCAACAAGCACTTCAACTGGGCAGTCACAGAGAATGCCCTCAAGTGGACTTCGTTGGAACCTCAGAAGGTAGAACCTGTGGTCGGATTGGTCTGCAGAAGCTACATTACATTGACGCACTTATACCTATGGCAACTGGGTCTTTATTCGTTGTTTGTGGATGTGAATATCACACTCGCCTATATTGATATCCCTAGTCTAGTCTTTTGTTGTTCCTGTGTGAATGAACTAGAAGATGAATTCCATATTACATTAGTATGTCCTCTGTATAATGAGTATCGTGTTAAATATTTACCTGAATACTGTCGTAATTACCCTCATGTTCAAATGTTTATTGAATTGATGAGAACAAGCGATAAGAATAGACTATTAAGATTTTGTATCTTTCTCAAAAAGTGTTTGTACTTCGATCGAAACAAAAATCTCTGTGAACACATAATCGTATCAACTGTAATAAGATCTACATTCTCAGTGTGGCGCATATGCATGTCTTTACCATACTGTTTTACACGTGTTGTACTGTTGGCCTCATGTCCATAAATACGTAATAAAGGATGTATACCCCTAGTCTGTAAGCACCATGTCTGCCTATATGTTTCAAAAGGCAATGGTGAAGCCGAGCCGTTAAACATTAAACTTCAACGAATAACCGGACTTGATTATCTACCGAATCAGATTCCGTTGGATGAAAACACAAAATAGCAGTAAAAATTATATAAATGGATCACTAAAAACATTGATGATCATCAGGTATTCGCGAAAAGCATTTTGGACTCGATTCTTCACATTGGTACAATATCTGAAAGCCAGTAAAAGTGTAGCCCAACAGCGTAGCACATTTCACTCCCATACTGCTGGTACTCGTATATTTTGGACTTTGATATATCTACATTACATGACATGGTAAATCGTTTTAAAAACGTGTCCTATTTGTCTGTCGTGCACCCCATTCGACAAAGCGACCTCAGTACTACAATTGTCGAAAAGCTGCATCAAAGTAAGGCAGCCACGATCCCCTCAGTGCTAAGATCGCTTTTTGGAACGGAGTTAGGAATCAATTTTCTTTACTATTGCCTTATGAAAGAACTCTTGTTTTTAACAGGGTCACATCAACTACGATGAGCCAATCAACGCCATCAAGAAGTTGAGATCCAACGGGTGAGACATTTGTCAAGAATGACTATTTGTTGAAAGTTTACAAACTGACATTTATTACTGTTGATTCCAGAATTTGGTGTGAAACCAACCAACAAACATCAACGCAGTATAAGTATAATAAACAGTTGTATTCCAAAATGAATAAGCTTAAAAACCAATACAAATTACTACCAAGGTAGTACTAAACTGAGTTGGATTACAAATTCAAAGAAAAGATCATACATAGGCAGTGATTATAGCAGTAAAGACAGGGATGGTTATATTCACCTAACTGCAACGATGGTTAAGTTTCCAAAATAGTCTGAGTACTCAGGGTAATTACACTGGTCTTCTTGTAGCTTGAGATGTAAAGTGATATGCGAATTAGTTCCCCCCTACATTCCTAAGAAAAAGACTCCTCCTTACGTCAGAATATAGTGGAAATGTCCATAGAAGTGTAGTACCCTGTAGTACCTTTCAGAAAACGGCAATAATCTACACTGGTGCGTTTCTCCGACAGAATCAAGGTGCGAGCTCACAACATTGTCTGGTCTGTGGATCAGTTTGTACCACAGTGGGTTAAAGCCCTTCGTGGGCAGACACTGAAGGACACAGTAAAACACCATATACAAGACATTGTTGGACGAACCAAGAACCTGTAAGTTGTAAACTATTCATTGTAAAGAACTCTGTTCCCAGTCAAAAGAAATCTCCACTGAAAGTAGATAGAGACCATATTATAAAGCTGTGTTTATGAATCGGTTTCTAATGGTTGTAATATCAGATGTGAATTGTTTTTATTATTTTGTTCTCTGAATTGAATTTACTTGGAAATTATTGTTCGATATCAGCTTATCGATATACCTGAACCTAATATTGAACATCTTGACCAAAATTCAAGATTTCTTTGTCCATTCGAGCTGAAATTCTGCCCAGTGCATAAAGAAACATTTCAGCAATTAGGAAAGCGGGGTTCATAAGGAAGCTTGGTTCTTGTGTAAATGCCTAATTCCCAAATTGCATATACATCTATAAGCTAATCATTTTAATTATTAAAAAATGCTCGAAACAAGGTCAAAACCACCAATACTTTTGCTGTGTCAGTCCTTTCCTATTCCTCTGGAGTAGTTGATTGGACAAAACAAGACATCCAGAGTCTTGACCGCCTGACCAGAAGGATCATATCTGATAACAGAGCTCACCACCCTCGATCCTCTCTCAATCGTTTATATATGCTAATCAGTTCGGGAGGTCGGGGTTTGATTAACGTGGAGGCTCTTCATGATAGAATTTTATTGTGTACTTTTGCACATATCTATTTATCGGATGATCCTTTGGTGATGCATGCCATGATGAAAGCAAGGAATTCCACAGCTATTTTAAGCATACCAAGGTTGTTGGACAGAATCTGAAATGTGAGGTTGATTTTGTTGATGGCAATGTACTGCTGGGCGGTACAGCGATGGGAGTAAACCAGGTGAAGTTATTCACCAAGTCTGCCCAGAGTCGGTCATTTTTGTAGAAGTTTTGAGAAACCATTGCATCGTGTGTACATGCAGTGTGTGGAACAGAATAGCAGTCCAACCGACTCCTTTGCCTGGATGAAGTCGGCTTGTCTTAAATGTGAAACTGAGGGCTTTCCTTTTGCTGCCCAAGACCAGTCATTTCCCACTCGCAATCACCTAAATGTGATTCTGAAAAAAATATTTCCATGAAATGTCAATTGTGCAATGAATTTACAGAGACTGTCCAACGTCATGTCATTGAATGCCCTTCCCTGGCACAAACATCATATCTTAAACGACATGATGATATGGCTCGTTGCTTCTACTATCGTCTTCGCCATATCTGTGGCTTTGACTCCGAGATCCATCCATGGTACGACCCTGAGCATGTCTAGGGCGTCATGGAAAATGATGCTTTTAAACTTCTGTGGAATAGGCCCTTATACAGCCTGAGAAGAATTCCAGCCAACAGACCTGATCTTGTCCATTTTGATAAAGCCAATGAATTTTTTATATCATTGAATATTCTGTCCCCTTTGACAGCAACATGATTGGCAAGATACAGAAAAAGCATGCTAAATATGCAGACTTCGCCTTTGAAATGTCTCGCTTGAATCCCAAGTACACTGTCGTCAGGCTCCCCATTGTTCTCGATGCCTTTGGTTTGGTACCAGCTCGAGAGAGTACCCGGGTTCTCTACCGATAGGACAGTCCTTCTGACACTCTGGATAATGCAGACGGCTGCAGTGTTGGAAATCTACATATTCTTTAGAAAGTTTTGATCAGTTCGACTAGGCAGTCCCATTCGCTGTCTCGGCTGCGTGTAGAAGGGACAAGGGTACCTGGGCTGATGTTGAGCCTTACCAGCCTGACTGTGCCAGCACCACCCGACCTCTCTGCGCTGTATACTATTTTCAATCTGTAAAACATAATAATCCAGTATTTGACATTCTCATTAAATTTCAGGTGACTTCAGATTATCATTTTCAGTCTGTATAACATATTAATCCAGTATTTGACATTCTCATTAAATTTCAGGTGCCTTCAGATTATAATCAGGATTCGTTTTCCAAATCTTTGAATCATTAAGCTGATGGTACATTTAGTGTATTTGTTTGATGAATTTTTAATTGAGAAGTTAATGATGTTATGTTGTTGATGTTAGCTCTATGAAATTATGTACCCTCACAGCGTGGAACACTGGGACGTCAACAACGAGAACCTCCACGGCTTCTGGTTCCAGAACACTCTCAACGATAGAGACTACGATCTAGAAATATTCCGTATCGCTCATCAAGCTGGTCCCAATGTTAAAATGTTCCTCAATGACTACAGTGTTGTATCATCGGGTGGGATGACTGGGGTAAGACTTGAGACTGATTACTCCTTTTTGTATCTTTGTTTGTTTCATTTATATATCTCGTCACTTTAGGTTGGTTATTAACGTAAGTGTTACTAGAGTATTTGGGCAGAAAATATTTGTTCTTACTGTTGTGTATTTTACCATTGGAGACAGTTAAAAGTCTAGTACAAATATCAAAGTCAAATAAACCTTGTGTAATTCTTTCTTCGTTTTCTTTCTTTTCCTGTTTTCAGAAATATGCTCTTGAATTTGTTCACCTTGAAAGTCCACCCTATGACTATATAAATGCAAAAAAGACTTCGTTACTATATTCAGCGTTTAAAACTATAGTTCCTTATTGTTGTAAATCCCTTTCATGTACACCCTTCTTTTGATTTTGTTGTTTTGGGTTTTTTTTACTATAATTTATTATTAATTATCATTAGTGTTTGTTTTGTGCTGTTTTACATTGCGCTTGCTTGACAACGGTATAAGGATATATACAGAAACGTCGCACCAAAACTGAATGAAAACGTTGCAAGACAGAAAATAGGTTATCTTTACTGTTAACTTGCATCTTCCAACATGCCAATCACAAAGTTCGTATTTAATCCCTGAAATATATATATATACAAATGCAAGCAAGGGATAGATATATTACCTGTGTGAGTATAAACCCATGCAAGCCTTTAGTCAACCCCATCCGATTAGCCAAATCAAGCCACCATCCCAAATCAGCACTTCTTTGTTGTAACTAGTAATGTACAGTTTTGATGTAAAAATGTTTCGCTGTTGCTACAATGTTGTATGATCGGCTGAAGTACATGTTAAATATATTTATGGATATTGGATATTATATTATTATTGGATATTATGTTCTTGGTTATGTGTATTTCAATGCTGGGGGACTGTTAAACCTCTGTTGCATTTTATCAGATTCAAATATATCCAGTTACTGTATAATATAATCTTAGTTTTCTCTATCTTTTACCGCTTCAACAGGTATTTGAATTGAATAAATGAATAAATAAGAGGAATGTGTGATGTTTATTTTTCTTGCTTGAACCTTTATGGCATCATATGCTTAACAATTTGTTTCAATTTTTATTCAGGCGTACCGTGATCAGGCCATCAGGACAAAGAACGCAAACGTTGGCCTCTATGGAGTCGGTGTCCAGTGTCACTTTGGAGAAAATGTTGAACCCGACCCAACGCTGATCAAGGTAACTCCCAAGGAAATATTATTATTGTTACAGAATCATATGTCCCATCTATTAGCGTTTAGTCCTTCTGGTAATGAATATATTTTGTCCATTTCCATAAGAAGCAAATTAAAAGTAATCTTACTAAGTAAAATGATCGTATGTAGGTGATGCTGACACCACTGTTGATGGTAATGATTTCTGAAATGTGTATTTGATTTAGACGCCATAACTATGATGATGATTATTGTATATGACCGTGTTCATAATGCTTTTTGTTGGTACTACCAGGAACATTTAGATACCATTGCACAAGCTGGCGTTCCTATCTGGGTCACTGAACTCGATGTCATAAATGTTGATGAACACAAACGAGCAGACTGGTACGAGACAGCTCTGAGGGCGTTTTATGGCCACCCAGCTGTTGAAGGGGTTATGTTTTGGGGATTTTGGAGCGAGAGAGACTGGAGAGGAGAACCAGCTACACTGGTGTCTGGAAATGAGTTCAGGGTAGGCATTACAAACAGCGATTTTAAACATATATTATTTCTTTCTCTAGAATTTCAATACTGTTCTGTTGTTATAGGTTTCAATCAATTTGGTGAATCTTCAATTTGGTAGTTTTATTTGAGTTGAATCTATTGATATTTTGGACTACTTGATAGCGGGAAGAAAATTGCTTGTAATGGATGGCTGGTCGTGATATTTTACAAAGTGTAAACTGTTTGGGAGGTAGGTTGGAATTGTGCAGTCGACTCTGCTTTTAGGAGAGATTACTTATGGATTTTGAAAGGGCTTTGCCGCTTCTGTTATGCCCATGTAAATTAACGTTTTCATAAATCTTTCAAGCTGACTGTGTATCTTATATTTACATTAAGTTTTATATGCATTATTGTCATTACAAATGTAGGTGATCATATATATACAGTTCTTTTACACGTCGTAGATAAACGCAGCTGGCCAACGTTACATTGACCTCACAGAGAAACAATGGATGACCAACGAAAACCACAAGCTCTCCCAATCTGGCAACAACTTTAAAGTCCGCGGTTTCCATGGCGACTACACGATTAAAGTCAAGGTCAACGGGAAGGAAGTTCCCTCCCTCGCGCAGTCATTCACCTTGGGTAAATCGGCTCACACTGTAAACCTCCGCGTCCATCATTAGCACGATCACTGTGAATAAAGTGCGTCATTGTGTGTTGTCTTTAGTGATGATGAGTTAGTCACTGCATGAAGGATAACTTGAGTTATCTAACGTCTTTGTGGCCATTTGCTGGATATAACATCAACTTATATTCATTACAGTAGTGAATATCTGTTATTGCCCCTCCGAACTGATACTTCAGGAAAATTTCCGATCTCATCATGTTAACTGCACAATATACATCAGTAGTAGCAGTTCATTAAAACTGTTGCACTGTATAGTTCATTCAGCTGAATGACGTCTTAACGAATGGTTTATCCTTCAAGGGCCAGATGTAACCACCTCAGACGTTAATGCCAATACCAATGACCGTACTGTGTCTTTGGTTTTTGTCTTTGTCATGAGGTTCCTAATGACATTTTCCCAAAAGAACGAGGAACAAACGAGCATGCTCTATATACAAAGATGCTCATGGTGAAATCAGAATCATACAATGGCATCTGTTTTATGGGACATTTCTTATCTATTGATTATGGACAAGGTTTTGTCGCCTTGATGATGATTTTACCTAGCTGTTTCCACAATGTTTAGCGTTGTTGTCATCAGTAAACATCTCGGTACCATTGTGCAAGCTGGAGTTCCGGGATGACAGAACTGGTGTGAACCAGACAAACGAGGAGACAGGTCTGTAGACGCTCAGCAACCACCCAAGTACTGAAGGAATCATGTCGTAGGGATTCTGAACTGGAGAGGGGAACCAACAGCTTCTGTGTCTCCTTCATTGTAAGAACTGACTGATCTTCTGCCTGTCTGCATTCTCTTCCATGTCATAATTCTTCTTCTCTGTTAAGTTTCACATCATCAACCATGTTCTCTCTACTCTCTCATAGTTTTTCAGCTTGCATTTTGTACTCTTATTTGAATGTATTCACCCACACTGTTGTACTCAATACTTAATTTAAATCCTTATTTGGTAATAATTAGTAACATTTTTATTGTGGAGTTATAATTTGGCTGGACAAGTCCACGCATAGTCCGAAATAGAAATGCGGTTCATAAAAAACATGGCGATATGTGTATCATCAGGGACAACAGAATGTTTCAAAATCTTTTCACGTTTGAGATCAAGGGGCCAAAATGAATCGATGCATTTGGGGAGGTATATAGAGAGTAACACCATTACGTACATTCCACAGCATTTTCGTTCGCACTGTTACTGTGACATGACAACTCATTGCTCATGTGCAACTAAATAACAATCGTTAATAATAACATCCATTAACCGGACAATACCAAAGATGTAAATGTGTGTTACGTCAATGAGAAAGACACGTTATTTTGTCAACTAGTACACAACTACCTTCAGGTGTGATATTCTAACTGAACCTATAATGTTTTACATGTAGATTTATTGTAAACTTACCTAGAATAAAATTTGATTGATGTATTTACTGACTGGAGAAGTCTATACGAGATATACAGATCGGTTAACTGTAATGCATCTGAGTTAGCAACATAGCAAAATGCTTCGCTCGCATGAGGGAAGACTGGTCATTTTGCTCTGTTGCACAACTCAGTTGCTTTTACAGTTAGTCTATTATACAATACAAACTAATACAGTGATTAAATTTTTATCCTTCCAGAAGATTATTAAAAGTTGCATTGAAATACTTTTGTGTGAATGTAGGGATAAAGAGAATATATCTAAATGCTATATTTTCACGTTTAAATAAATAAAACACACAAAAACTATTGTTATTTAAATATTCTAAATTTGTATATATTAAGTGAACATTGCGTATCTTCATTGGAATAACTGTATGCTGATATTATTTGTTAAACTATAAAATGTATATTAACTAAATGGTATTATATGTGATCTAAGTGAATTGTGCTTCTATATATTTCTGATCACTTTCTTCTTATTGTCATGATAATCAGTCGAATATTGTATTTGCAAATCAGAATGTGCTCTTTCAATAAACGTTCGCTTTAATATGTTAATTCATTAGTTTTAATTGATATTCCCAACACATAGAATCATTTAATTACAATCTCTATATAGTGTGTGAAGCCCATTTCTGGTGTCCCCCGCCGTGATGTTGCTGGAATATTGCGAAAAGCGGCGTAAAACCAAACTCAGTCAGTCAGTCAGTCTCTATGGTACGAATCTATCATATTACGCTAAACATAATGATTGACTTTACGGCGCCATGTGAAGTAAATTTTTGCCAGATGGAAGGAGACAGACTGATTGAGAAACAAATTGGAAGCTAGTTTGGTCAGGTGGAAACCTTTACAGTCTCAAAACCTCCATGCCTCCTGATACGTGTCGAGTCCAAATAAATAGTACTTGATGTTACCGGGCGTGGAATCGATGAAAACTTATTTAGTTAAATTGCAGTCTGTGAGTGAGGCATCAATGCAACTCAGTGAACTAGCTTAGAAACTTTGACAAGGAAACGCGGTGTAATCAAATCAAGGTTTGCAGTTGGTAAATATTGAACATACTTTTGCATTTTAAGTAGAGATAGTGTTAAGCCCCCTTTTGTGCTCAATAAAACCGGGAAAAGATTTAGGTTACATTTCAAAATTCTCAACACATCAGTCACAAAACCTATTTCCGGTGCAGCTACGTACTCTGATTTTTTTCCTAGCTTCAGGAAATCATGCCTTCACTAGAACAGGATACTCTCCTCCTCTCTCTCTCTCTCTCTCTCTCTCTCTCTCTCTCTCTCTCTCTCTCTCTCACTCACACACACACACAGACAGACAGACACATCTTTGGGACGCACTGACAAGCACTTTAAATCATGCTTACATAGATTGGTGCTAGCATTCACACACACACACACACACACACACACACACACACACACACACACACACACATACATGCACGCAAGCATGTCACTGTCTAACTGCAGTAACCCGGTATGAGAATAAAAAGATAATTTCTTCACAGAGAAGGAATTCCTTAATGACAAAATCATTTCACAAAAACATCCGACAACCGAGCAAGTTGTCTCAACAAATCAGTAGAATAGGGGAGGGTCTATTTTTAAAATTTCATTAAATGTCCGCATGATCCACCGTGACAAGGCTGAAGGAGCTTTAAGCATGTACATTTCCATATGTATTTATAGTAACTTTCACACTGAACGGTATTCAGTGGACATTCCAGAGATAAGATTTGCGGTGGAATCTTTAATACAACCACCTGTTGTTCAGTGCCGTGGCTGTGTTCTACCAGATATGTCGTGTCTGGTGCTGCTGTGTCTGCTGCCCCTTGCTTTGGGGCAGAATATCGTCCAGAATGGAGACATGGAAACAATGGATCATTGGAACTGTTGGAATATACACTGTGAGCTGACCACTGATCATCATAGTGGACATCACGGAATCAAGGCCACGGGCAGGTAATTGAGGAAAGGCAATGCAGTACAAATTCCATTATTACAATGGTGTTTCCTATATATATATATATGCACGGGGATAAGAAATTGATACTGCTTTTCAAAATAGTCCTCTATAATCAATATTCAATACGTTTCCGAGCAACAAAACAATATTTTTCTGTAGTAAAATTATCTTTGGAAAGACATCACTCATCGGGACAATTTGTTTAATTCATAATATTTTAGAATATAAAACAACGCTCGTTTGCAGTATATTTTGGCATTTAGGATTAATGTGGTTCGACCATACCATAAAGCATTTCTTAAACCATCTGTATATTTCAGAAACCACTATTACGAAGGTCCCTCGCAGACTCTCAGTGGCCTAACGCCTAATGGACGGTATACGGTCGAGGGATGGGTAAAACTGCTGAACGACAAGGCTGGACAATTGGGACAAAATATAGAGTTGGAGGTGGCTGTTGACCTTAACAGTAGGTTCTGTAGCTCACATCTAGTCAAGAACAGGAAGTTTATTGTGTTAGCGTTTTCATATTGGTATTTCATGTTCATATCGGTAAAGAGAATTGGTATTTTTTTTGCTCATGATGCAATATTTCACATATTGATGTTTTTAAAACATACTCTTTTATATAAGTGAGTGAGTGCGTGAGTTTTACTCCGCATTCAGCAATATCCCACCTATGTGGCAGCGGTCTGAACCAGGCAATCCAGTGATCAACATCATGAGCATTGATCAATGCAACAGTAGGTTCTGTAGCTCACTTCTAAGTCAAGAACAAGAAGTGTTGATTTGAACTTATATACATCATCATTCATCGTACAAAGTACAATATATATTTTTTAGCGTTTTAGTGATAAACTGTGCAATATTCATTTATGTGTGTATTATATTTTTATACACCAGTCTTGCAATTTGAATAGTAATACTTCTTCATTCTAACTACGAAGTACAATATATTTGTTCTTGAGGAGATGTAATCATTTTTCAGCACAATTAATGTTTTGGTGCATCTTTATGTTATAGCTGGGAAGAAGGCATACATCTCTGTTGGCAGCCATCCTCTCGCCAGATCCTCCGACGGCTGGATTCACCTCACTGGAGACTTCAACGCTCCTTCTGGGGGTAATGTGGTATTTCATTGAACCAAAGCAGTCTACAGATATTCAATGACATCCAACATAACCTGAACTGAATATTCCCAGACGGTTCTTGTCCTGATCTACACGATATTATTTTATAGTACCAAAACAACCCAACAAAACAACTGTGAAGAAACGTCACAGGCCACCACACAAAGTCAAATTTTAATAGTATGTGAGAGGTTGTAAATCCTAGTGGCTACTCCAAACGTGGAAGGTTTTCAGTGAGGTTTCTTGAATGGAAATATTCATCAAAAGTGGCCCTGTGGCTCCAATATATCCTAATGTTGTCGATTGTAGTTTGGTGGTTCTCAAGCATAATCAATTATCAATGAATGTATAGCTGAGGCTATTGTTATTCAATGGTATGTTATAGAAACTTGAAATTGACTTAAGAATGCTTATTTTAAACTTATAGCTATGATCTAACCATAATGCTATCTTACGGTTTTTATCGATTTAATATCTAGCCTTCGTTTACATGAAACCTC